TATGAGTCTTCTTCAATTTACATATACTAGAGAAATGATTCCTTTCCAAATGCATCCAGCATCCCCCTTCCTGACACACTAGCTTCTTCCTATCTTTCAACCTAATTTTGTCAACATCGGGGCAATCTTGGGTCATGTGATCTTGATTGCAGAAAATACACCCTTGTTGGTTTTGACTGTAAAGGTTGTAAAACAAATCAGTGACTGTGGGTATGGTTTCAAGTGATGGTTTAGGATTCTTGACCCTGGTCAATTGCTTCTCAGTAAATCCAGATTTGGCCATCTGATGCCATTCGTTAAGAGGGAGGTCAAATTGGAGGCCATTCTGACCTCCAATTTGACTTCCCTCTTAAGGAATGATGTCAAATGGCTCAATGTGCCTACATCTGGCTCATCATTACTCATAATTCAAACTAGTTCCCATTTTTGCAGAGTCACTAATGGTAGTGACGATTCCACCATGGGAAACAACATGTTGGCATACTTCTGTGAAATTACTCCCAGTGACTCTAATGCTCTTAGATGAGTCTCCAATCTATCATACAAATCAGCCACAGTGATTTCGCTCTTATTGTCCATGACAAGTTTCAAAATCTCTCTCACAAAAACATGTATCAAAGTAATATCACTCCCAAATCGCTCTTTATATATGCTATCAACTTGGGATAGTTCTATACCATTTCCTGGAAACTGTGTCTGCAACCTCCCATGCCTTGAATTTCTCCTTAGTCACCTAGAGCAAATACTGTAATTTATCCTCCAATGAGATCCCTTCATTCTCATGAATCCCTTTAAACTGACTTCAGAACTTCAGCCACCCTCTAGGCCTACCATCAAACTTCACTAATTCTATCTTTGGCAAGTGATACTATGACTTCTGACCTGCTGATGACTCTTCCACAGACCCTCTTCCACTGTCTATGTCCTCGGTTAACATCTTTACTCTGGCCTCCATCAGCATATACAGTGGGTGATCAGTTAATGAACATAATCTGTTCCAAGACTTTGTTCACTATCCAAATTGTTCATTAACCGATTATCGATTTACCATACGTTTTTATGAGAATTTGATTAATTCATTCTGGAAACTCCAAAAAATAAAAAAATATATACTTTCTTACTACGTTTATTGATATGTAGTAATAAAAATACATATATACACAGTCTTGCATTTTTATTAGTCATAGTTTTTCCATTTGTGGGGGTTAAAGAATCTGTCTAATGTCAATTGCTTTTCTCTCTTCTTCAGGATTATTCAGAAGTAATTAATAACATTGTAATTGTAGAGATATCTAAGCCTCAACCTGGTTTGGATGCCATTCTAATACCATTGTTCTGACATCCTCCCACTTCTTCAAAAGATCATTAATAGCAGATATTGGCATTAATCCTCTTTTTCAAAGAAAAACACGTTGCCACGTTTCTTGGTGTTCTTCTATTGTCAGATCCGTTTCAAGTTCCATTATGAGATCTTCAATGTTCTTTATTTTTCAGATGTGATTTTTGTTACTCCTTCAGCTGCTTGAGTCTTCTTGATTATATAGTATCATTCTTAGATAAGATTGAACTGTGGCCTACTGTAGACCTGTTCAAGCCATACTGCCCAGCAACATCATACACCTTCTGCACACTCTTTACCTTTGCTATTATACTATTACCTTTCAAAAATAAAAACTGACACAAAACTTAACGAGGCTTGTCCAACAGTCTCACGAATACTATAAAAAAATTCTTTCTGTCAGAAAAATAAAAGGCTGGAATCAAAGGTGAGTTTCAAGTTTGGAGGAATACTATCCAATCAGTATATACCAGGTTGAGCATTTATGTCGATGTCTCCTGCACTCCAAAAAGTTTCGAATTGTTGCCTGAAGACAAGGAAAGACCAATCGGTATTCATTATTTTATGTTGGTTCTTCTTGTGTTTATTCTGTGAGATGTTTGTTATCCAAACATTGTTCATTGTCCAAACATAAAAATCTTTCGCGAAAGTATAGTGGAACCCTGGTTAACGAACTTAATCCGTTCTGCGACTCCGTTCGTTAACTGAATTGTTCGTTAACCGAAGCAATTTTTCCCATAGAAATTAATGCAAATGGAATTAATCCGTTCTAGTCTCCGAAATTTTTGTTATTTTAGTTGTAATATACAGTAATTTTCTTTGATGAAAATGTACGAAAACGTAGTATCTATCATTACAGCAACAAACATGTAAACTTTGTTTAATAAAATAGCACTGTACATACCTTCGTTTGTTATAGTTGGTGGCAGAAAAGTGGAGATATACAGAGAGAGATATACCTTAATGCTTAGAAGGGGAATCCCCTCCAAAAAAAATAATGGGTAGCACTTGATCAGAAGATTCTTCGAGTTGAAGTCTCTTTCGGTAAAAAACCCACCAGTGGCTAAGTGGTCTTTGTACCTTGAACACGGGGAGTTCGTTCATGGGTTCGCATCTCACTCAGACGGGCTGGCCATGTGTAGTTTTCTGGAATTTCTCCACGTTTGTAACGCCTAAATAGGGGCCAGTTTCCCTTAAAAACACCCCCCAGAAGGCAGATCGCCCAAGTGTTGCATTGCCATAACTTAACAAAGAAACAAACTCTTTCCATAAGGAACAAGAAATTGTTCTGAAGTTGATTGTCTTACTCTTTTAATCAAAATTTTTCTCAAATGCGATAGCACATTGTCGTTCATATTGCGTTGTCATTTTCTATTGCCACTATGACTTTTTTCTTTCTTTGATGCCATATTGATTAAATATATAAATCACAAAACTGAAAAAAGAAGTATAGCACACACACTCGGAAAAGAAATGCTTAACTCGCACATACCTAACACTAACTAAAATTTGACACAAAATACAGTTATGTTCGTTATCCGAGGCAAAATTTTTGCAAAATAAAAGTTTGTTAACTGATTTGGTCGTTAACCAGGACGTTCGTTAACAGGGGTTCCACTGTATTTGTTATCCGATTTGTTCATTAACCGATCACCCACTGTATATGTTCTTTGTTAGTCAGCAACAGAATCAGCTTCTGACGAAAAATCATCCTCGGATGCATAATCATTCTGGGCAATCTCTCTCTTTATCAGTGGACCTAACGTTTGCATTCTTTCATGATTGTAAACAAGCCAACTCCACAAAAGATCTAAGACAGTTTTATCAATTGCAGCTTTCTCAAGCTCAGCCATAACATTATCAAATGTTTTCATGAACCTAAGAACACCTCTTCACTGTACTTTCATAGACACCATATCTAAATTTCCATAACTTATATCATTAGGTATCTTGTCAGTTGTACCAGATGTTGTAGCACCACATTACGGGGTCTTGAATGAAACTAGACACTGCATAAACAAAACAAGGTTTGTATACCTTGAAAATATACAGTCAGATAATAGCACAATACAAGTTTACAGACACCTTCCACCATAAAAAATCCAGGCACACAAAGAAAAAACACAAGTGCACTCCCCTTTTTCCTTACCAAGGGTGCCCTAACAAAAAGAATTGGCCTGGAATGGGACTCAAATCCACAACTCCCACTTGTCATGTGGATGCATTGTCAAACATTCATCTGATCTTCACCTTCAGAACTGTTGATTTAGATATAACCATACTGGTTACTCGCAGCACCAACTAGGGCAACTTCTGTGCTCATAGCCTTTAACTCTTTTCATGACACTCAGCCAGCTATTGCTTTACCCCAACATGATGTATATATACATATCTAAACATCTATTAACCTGATTTTTAGGTTAATGCCAAACAAATTTCGAAGATTGGATAAAAGTCCAGATAGCATAACTGGTAACATATTCATATGGCAAGTGGAAGTTGGAAGTTCATGTCCTGCTCCAGGTGATTCTTTTTTCCAGAACCTTCTAAATTAATTATTATGTATTAATTAAATTATAATTATTAAATTTATCAAGAGATGGCACCTGATTTCTACCTCTAGGCCAAATTACTTGATATTTAATCATTAAATAATAGCATTATTACAGCCTGATATAATGTAGCAATTGTTTGGCATTAATCTAAAAATTATTTATATACAAACATAAACACCCATTAATCCAAAGATTTTGTCATTTCATTTTATCTTGTGATTCATATTAAAAGTGTTGAGACACCATAGACTAGGGAATTGCTATTGGGTACATGCTAATTTTAAAGTGGAATTATCTGAAACCACCCATAAGTTTAGAGAAATTAGAAGTTAGATAACTTGTTCAATCTAGACTTACAAGTTAGAACATTATAGTTGGAATAAGAAGTTGTAATTTATCTGTATTAACAAGATTATTAAGTAATCAATGTCTCTAATAGAAGATGAAGTGGTTGAAATGTGTTTCAAATGGAATATTATGTTTTCTGACTTCTCTCAAGAAATGGTTATTTCCGTGGTCATGTATGAAATATTAATTTTTGTTATAGGAAAACTATATATTTTGTAAAATAAATTACTGTCTGTCTGTTTTTTATACATATACCCTATAAATTTTGAAAGAGCCTTTATAACTGACTGAATGATGGCAATGATGAATTGTAACTCCTAGTTTTTTTTTTCTATAAATCACTTAATGATAAAATCAATTATTAATAATTTTTTTTCTGAGAAGTAAGAGCCACAGTTAAAAGTGTAAAAAGATCCTATTATCTAAAACTAATAAGTGTAAAATTATATTGTTTGGGTTAATTTGTTGTAATATATTACATATCACTTGATGTAGCTATTATTTCATCAGACAAGTAGTGAATGGCATTAAATTTACTAGAATATATTAATTTTGTGAATTGTACAAATAGTTTAATGTAAGATGTTGTATTGTGGCTTAAACATTAAGTTGCTGAGAAATTTGTTTAAAAAATGTGTAAGTTAATGTATTTAATATATAATAATTAAAATTCTACAATTTATAATAACTACTTTACAATTTAATATATTTTAATAATTTTATATTGAATTTTGCTTCAATATGGATTTATGTTTCAGGTGGACAGTTGTTTTTCGTTCTGATGAAAAGACAGAAGACAAGCAAGCCTGTGTTAGTAACAGTTCTGGTTCAACATCTGAAGATACTGCCATCTTTGTGATGAATAACTATTTTGGAATTGGTATTGATGCTGATTTATGTCTAGATTTTCATAATGCTAGAGAAGAAAATCCAAATAAATTTAATAGCAGGTAATGTAAATTTTTTTAATGAAATAGAATTGAAATAAATTGAAAACAAACTGAATATGCAGTATGTGTATATAATTATTTTTATTAGAAAAAAATTATTTTAATAATATTTCTTTACTTATAATCTGTTTTCAGACTTCATAATAAAAGTGTTTATGTTAAAATGGGTTTAAGAAAGATGGTAAGTAAGAAAACATGGAAAGATTTACAGAGAGAAATTAGACTTGAAGTTGATGGGAAAGTTATTGATTTGCCTCCTGTAGAAGGAATCATTATTCTTAATATTTTAAGGTTTGTTGTTTTATAGATATCTACATTAAAAACTTTCAATATATGATGATGATTATGATTTAATAATTAAATGAAAAGTTTAATTCTGTTTATTTTAATGCAAGTAAACTAAATGAAAAAACTATATCATAGAGTTATTTTTGTTATTTTAGACAATTTACAACCGTCTAACAGCCAAGTGAAACAGCTGTAGGATATATTTATTGATATGAAAAGGACTAAATTATTTATTTTTTGTTTACATAAAACCTTGTGATGGATTATTTCAAATGACTAAATTCTTTTCAAAAAATAAAAAAATAATAACAACATTTTGGGAGTTTAGTAGTTCTGTTAATTAATTTAAAATTTAATTATATTATAAAGTAGAATATATTTAATAATAAAAAGTCAGAAATAAACATTTTAAACATAAAAGAATTACTGTAGGTGTTCTATTTGATAAATACAGATGTACTGAACTATTTCACAGATCTAATTTGAATTCTTTTAAAAAATTTTAAGAAATAAAACAGGAAAAATGTTCCAGAATAAGAAAACTGATAAATTGAATATTATTTTCTGTAAAAAATAATAGTTTTGAATATGTAATAGAATTGAAGATATCAATAACCTATACAGATTCTGGCAAAAATCTTTAATTAAATATATATTTAATTAAAGATTTTTGCCATATTTAGCTACACTTTAATAGATTAATTTTACTAAACATTATGCAAATAATTATAACAAGTTAATGAGTTAGTGTTAAAATATAAAATTTATTTTTTACATTATGAGTAGAAAATTGTTTTTTTTTTCTTCTTACTTATTAATACTGGAGTAGAAGTATAGCTCCAAACCTTCTTTGTATCAAAGTAATAAGCTGCTGGAGAACTGTTTAGAAGGTTCTGCAAAGAAGGTTTGGAGAAAAATAATTTTGATATACAAATATTTAAAACATGTGAACTTTTTTAATAATTGCTCCAAATAACTTTTAAATTTATATTCTACAAATAATTTTTGTTATGTTGTTATAGCATTTATTTTTGAAATGACCATAAATAATCAAATATCATTTCATTTTGTTGTCTCCTTTCATCTCATATTTACTACATTAAAATAAACATAGTGCTTTTTTAAAAATGGGGTCATAATGTTGTTTTTAAATTATATTTTAAAAGTTTAACATACATATTTGTCTTTTATGAGATATAAATTATAAAATCATAGCTATTAATTGGAAATTTTATTTGTGACCATTTATAGAAGGCAAAATCAAGAAAATACAGTAGTTTAAATAATAAAATTGTAAACTATTTTATATATAAGAAAATTCTTGTATTTGGAATTTTCCTTAATCATAACATACAGGATTTTTCAAATCTTTTTGAAGTCCAATAACTACAAGAGAAGTGTCTATTTATAAATCATGCCATTTTCAATAATTATTACCTTGAGATGATCTAATTCTCAGAAATCAAGCTATCACAAGCAAGCAAGGCCTAGGAAAACTGAAATTATAAAGTAACAAGATGTGTCATATGACCATCTATTTATACTTTTTGTAGTAAGCACAATGCTAGTATGGATAACCTGTCTTAATACTGTTTCCAAGTTATTATTTATTGTGACATTGTGACAATGCCAGGTTGCAACTTTTAATCATCTTTTAATTTAAAAACAATATCACATGACTTTTGGTCCAAATGGGAAGTTTGTAACGATCCACGAAAAAACCTTTTTTACGAGGGTTATTTTCACTATTAAGTTCCACTTAATAGTGAAAATAATCCTCGTAAAAAAGGTTTTTTCGTGGATCGTTATTATTCAACGAGGTGTTAAATTGTTGGAAGTAGTTATCTTGGGAAGTTTGTATTTAGTTAATCAGGGTCTTGACTCCTAAGCTTTCAATATCTGATCTGAATTTTAGTGGTGTCTTGTCCCTGTACATTGTACTTTTCCTGATAATGATTAAGTCATGCCAGTTATCTATCTAACTCCATTCTTGAGAAAATTTTGAATTGAAATCATGTGACTTCCAGTCTGACTGGAAGTCACATATTTAGTTACTACTAATCTTACCAGAAAGGTATTACAGAATGATTTTATACCTTTATGGGCTGAAGATTACCTCTTTAATCAATGTTTAAATTGCAGAACCATCTTTCTCCAGGAGTCATTATGTATAATGATGATAGAGCCCTGTGTAACAAACCTGCACTTGAAATCACAGAAGTATGGGTTACACTTAAAAAAATAAATAAAAAATATGCAATTATTTTAACATTTTGTAAAGAATAGATATGTTAAAAAATACATTTACAAATTAAAATAACATATTCATATTTTAAGAATGTTACATTTTTTGTTTTTATTATTTTTATTTTAAAATTATTGCATGTTTACTCATTTCATTTTAAGATTAATACATTAATAAGTTTAAAATTAAAACATGTTTCATCTGTTCAATTTTGTGTAAAAACTACATACTATGATTTGAATGGAATGTTTGGAATCTGTTAACATACTTTTTTAAAAATTGTAATTGAAATGGAATATACTCAACCTGAAGATGACAACTTCACTTTATTTAATCACATTCTAATGGAAATTCATCACCGCCTGAAGAAGAACCATTGAAGGTTTGAAAACGTTTGTGAAATTTTAATTTTTTGTTTTTTGAATTTAATTGCACACCGGTAACAGGCTTCAAGGTACATAATTGCTGAAGATGACATTTTGAAATGTCAAAAGTACTTGTTTCTAATTAAAAACATTGCAAATAAACAACTTTAATGTTGAAAGACAGTCTGGTTTATTCTTAATAGTTAATTGGGCCTACAGCATCCAAGTTTTCTATATCTACTCTTGATTTTCACATATCTACCTCCATTCTCAAGATTAATGAAAGACAGACAGATGGACAACAGTGGGAATGTATAGTTCTGCAATTTGAAAATTGCAGCCCAATTATAATGTTTTGTATCATTTATATTGCAGTATTGTATTGTATTGCAATATGGTATCTTTTCCATCCAGAAATGTACTATATAACAGTTAAAAATAGCTTATTTGATATATCAGTTTTCTGATATTATATTTTTTACAGAATATAAATCACCACATTGCTTAAAAAACCAATTAAACACATATGGATACAATTTCTGTAATCACTCAGGATATATTTCTTCATACTTGAAGGTCAGACTATTTACAAAAATATCAAAATTTTCGAGTCTATCTTAATCCTTTTTTATACACACCAGAAGTAACAGTTAACATGGGTTTTATTGAAGAATATACTTCTTAAAACAAAGGTAAACAATAAGTAAAAAAATTCACAAAGTTAAAAACGATCAACACTTTTGTAAATAGTCTGACCTTCAAGTATCAATTAAACACATTTAGTTTAAATGTTTTTAGAGTTTGCTTCATCTATAATCAAATGATAGAGCTATATTAACTATCAGACTAGAATTTGGCTAATTAATTATATAGATATTAAGTAATTTGCATCAAAGGTAGGTAGTTATGCTATTATCCTGTATTATTAAATTTAATACAATATTTTGATTAACTAATAAGTAATGATATCAAGGTTTATAGGTAGGCAGTTAGGCTACCATCTTGTATTGATATTAATGATTATGCAAATTTTAGAATTAAATTTAATAATTTGGACTATTCTGGAAGAAAAGGTCAACATTCAACACAGCAGGATTCAAATCTGAGGTTTCTGTTTACTAATGCAGATGTATTACCAGACACACTACCTGGACCTCCAACCAAACTCACTTACTGGTTATACATCTTAAATTAATAGATTTGAAAACAGATCAGGAGATGTCCTAGTAACATAACTGATAATTCATCTGTGTAATAAGCAGGAGTTTGAGTTTCACTCCAGAAGAAAATAAATGAGCAAGCTTCATCTATATGTACCACAGATTATAAAATATTCATTTAGTTATTATTAATTTTAATAAATATTACATTTCTCATAGTTTAAAAACAAATTGGTGTATTTTTTGTTGACTTCTGCAATGCAACCCTCCTGTTGTACCAGTCTTAGTCTGGTATATTATTATTTTGCACTATTTGAAATTTTATAAGAACATAGCCTTTGTATTGTACATGGGTCACCTGTATTTTGTATTTTCTTCCATTTTATTTATATGTTGGCTCTCTTTTCTTGATTTCTATCACTTTAATTATGACTATTTCAAGCAATATAGTAATTTGACATTTAATAAGTATACTTGTAGATAGAACAAAGCAGAAAATAAAACCAGGTCTTTTTTGAAGTTTTTATTTATAAATTTTAAATTGAATTTGCAAAATTTCTAATTGATTATTGATTTTGCATAACTGATCTTACTGTACAAGATATAAAATAGCAAAAAATCAAATTATATAAATAGATAAATTATTAATATTGACTGACTATTGAAAATTTGTTAATGCTTATTGAATTATAATTATTGAATTTAGCATTATCCAGTATTGTAAAAAAAAAAAAAAATATTCTTAGATTATTGGTTCCAAAAATCCACTTTATAGTATATTATGTGAATAAAAATTTTGAGTCATTTATATAAATGAATCTTTTATATAAATCAAAAATAATACATGGTTTTTTCTTTTTCCTAAATTTTTATTATTGATCTTTTCATATACTGAAATATTAATGAAGATATACTCTTCATTAATATTAAGATAAATTTTAAAAGATATTAAAAGACAGTTTATGAAAAATAAGGAATAAATGAAGTGTGTAATGCCATAATGTTGTAAATGCCATTTTTCTCTAAATATGGTTTATTGAAGAATTAAATTCTAAATGCCATGTTTTCTGCCATAAAAGAATATTGTGGAGATATTGGCCCTATAAGTGGCTGTATTTTGAAGATGAATTTATGTGAAGATATAACATTTAAGCCACCAGAGTGCAAGTCATGTGACTTTTGGTGCTTAAAACATTACAGCTTATATTTACATCATTTTGATATTCCAGAGAATTTGTAACCTAGTAAGATTTTACCATTTTATTGTAAAGTTGAAATGAATTCATTTATTCGAAAAAGTGTTTTTTTATCTCTCCTGAAAAGTTTCTGTTTTGGCATTTACAACATTATGGCATTGCATGTTTCAAATATTTTAATGATAAAAATACATCTTATAAAATATATCCTAATATACATTTTAGATGCATTACATGTGTTGTAGTAGACTATTCTTCATTTTTTATAGTTGGGGATCAGGTGCAAATCCTTGGGGTCCAGAAAAAGAAGATTTATTTTCTAAACCAACTCATTATGATGGCATGTTGGAAATTGTTGGGGTTACTGGAGTTGTACATATGGGACAGATTCAAAGTGGTTTAAGAAGTGCCATTCGTATTGCACAGGGAGGTAGTGTAAGTAAAACATTTGTATTTCATTATGTTTTCATTACAATTTTTATTTTTAATTTGATTAAAAATTTACATCTACATAGTTATATAGTTTATGATGATAGGATTGATATTTGTAAATTAATTTCAAGAGAATATATATTTGTAGTATTTAATAATTGATCATCAAAAATCATAGCTTATATTTTTGGATTAATTTATTCATATTCCCTACTAAATATTTATTATTACAGGTCTCAGAGTCACTCATTTTTTCTCACCTGTATTCTCTTTTCTGAAGTATCCTCACTTTTCTCACTTTTTGGTCATTTCCACGTGCTTAATTAGTAAGATGTGGGACTAATCAAAAATATTTTTAAAGCCAGACGAACTATTGGACTAGAAGTTTCTGGAAGAAAATATATTCGGCCTGAGCAGGACTCAAAACCACAACTGCTGCTCAGTGTTGTTAAATTATAGGAAACAAAAATCCTTTCACATACTGGGTCCGTACACACCTGGAAAGTCAGGGAACCCATAAATATCAAGGAATCCATCTGCCATTCATGTTCTCTTTTGATCCGAACATGTCTTTAAATTCAGTTCAGTATACTAAAATGTAAATTTTCGACTATAAATTTGTATCTTCTATTATCAGGACTTATTATACTGGCTTTATAGATAATGCTACAAAGTTTAACAGAAAACAATTATTATTTTATTCCATATACCTGTTAAACTTTGTAGCATTATCTGTAAAGCCAGTATAATAAGTCCTGATAATAGAAGATACGAATTTATAGTCGAAAATTTACATTTTAGTAAGAAAAAAGGACATTGAGGCATTTTAATTAATTAATTAATTCAGTATAGGGAGGTTTACAATAACTGGAGTAACCAAACAAATGGCAAAATTTGTTGTACTTATATATTGTAAACTATAAATGATAGTCATGATTTAAATTTTGTTGGATAGAAGTTTACGTCTGTATTTAAAATGGTGGGTAGCAGGGGTGTGCAGCTTGGGTAGCAGTTGCTCATGAAAACTGAAAATGGCAATGCAGTGAAACTTTGGATGGAGAAGAAATAGGATGTCAAAATCAGTATCAATTTGTACAGATTAACAGAATCAACAATACTACTTAGCAATAATAATTGCTAAAGTAGAATTTGTAAAGTTATAATCCAATAGCTGTGTAAGTCGAAGAAAATTTTCATAATGTCGAAGAAATTGTAAAGAAAATATGAACAGAAATGTATATCATTGAAAAGAAAAATTGAAAACAAATGAGAAAAGCCCAAAATGACTAATGCCAAACGATGCAGATTGTATAGAGAGTGCAATAAAACACAAATGTTTGGAGTGTGCCACCATCCAAATCAATAGATATTGACTTGGAATGTGATAACCAGAAAGTCTCTATTCATTTACACCTTATCCTTCTTCTAATAATACAAAGACTGATTCACACTTAAACAATTGCGATTGTGTCCTGTACACAACCCTCCCAATTTTTTTGACTTGCACATCTGGTTAATTCTTCCTCTGGCAGAGTGCATGATTTATTCTGTTTAAATTATTTTGAATTTTCTACCTTCTTGCTTTAAGAAAGTTCGATTTTTTATGACGTGGCACAAATCTTTTTTTTATTTAAATTAAATCATAAATAAAATTTACGATTTAATTTAAATTCAATCATGAAATTATTTATATGATATAGCTAATTATGTAATTGATTTTATGTCATGTTTTTGTAAGTGAATAAAGTGTTTTTAATAAAGAAATTTACACAATTATGGAAAGGGAAATGTAAAGGCATTAATAAATCAGGAAATGTCAGAATCAAAAGATGGAATTATCTGTACATATGTAAAAAAAAATTCTTTATGAACTTAAAAAAATTCCTTTCATTACAATTTCAGAAGCCAATGCTGAGTAAAGTTATATACTCATGCCATATTGTCATTATAGCTGAAATCAAAATTTTTAGAATTGCATTCCCTTCATTTTTGGCTGTTTTCTAAGAAAATCCTTAAAATTCCTTTGCAGGTGAAAACACCCTACTCCAAGGGATTAATCTCTCAAGCTGACAAGACTGCTACTGCTTTTAAATTTATATTAATATACAATGAAATTCCATTAGCATGGCATTTGGTATGCCAGCATGTTCAGCTCGCCTTTGGGGGAGAATACTTTTGTGCACTGGGTATTTGTCTGTTTTTATATGTAACTAGGTACCCAGTTAATTAAACTAAAAATAATAATTAAATTTAAAAATAAATTAAAATTTTAAAAGTGTTCTTTACATCGAAACAAAAACCGTAGCTAAAATTAAAAATAAAATCAAAATTAATTAATTAATTAATTAATGTAAATTAAAATTGAAACATATTATTTGGGAAGGTGCAGATAAAGTACTTGTTGGTCTTGATTGATTTGGTTGGGCCTATATTTCATGCAGGCAGAGTTGAATCTCTATTTATAGCACTTCTTTGTAAAAGGTTAGTTTCAGTTTCAGTTTCAGCGGTGACAGAACATTTTGCTTTTAATTAATAAGTAAAATATATAAAATATAGATAGATATAGATAAAAGTATTCAAAGTTAAGAGTGTTTTGTTTCAAATCAACTGGAAAAATTGAAGTGGCATGTTAAACAATTATAAAAAATGGATTTGTAAAATTATATACAGGGAATAGAAAAAACAGAAAATATCCCACCGTTTGATAGGTCGGCATATTCATTAAATTAACATCGTTGTAACAGTGTTGCTTCTTATTCATCTGCAGGAAAAAGTTCATTAATAAAATGTTATTTTACTTAGTATATTTGAAATCTGTTTATTTCAGATTTATTCTTTTATTTTTAAATCAATATTTACACATCTTGAAGCATTAAAAAATAAACAGTTTCTGATCATGCACATAAAAGTTTCGTTTTCTGCTGCTTCTTGATTGATTTTGTTCGTAATGAGTTGTTAATTTTATTTCAAATTACTGTACTATAATAGTCACATTACATAAAATGGAAAATTTATATACAAATAAAATTTTGAAATACATTAAACTATTGAATTGTAAATATATTTTGTATAAATCTAAATAATATATATTTAAAGTTAATTTTCTAAGTATTGCTTTATTTTATTGGTAATTTTTATTTTATTTTTTCTGTTTTAACACGTGCAGAGAAGTGACTGAGCACATGATCAACGTGTATTTGTTCACTTCCAATTGTGATTGACCAATAAAAATCTGTAACAGAATGATACCTATGAACTGTTGGTTTATAGCAGGTTCCAAATTAAGAATATAGATGATGGATGGAATGGTTTGAATCCACTCAATGATTTGATGCCACCAAAGTGCAAATTTCAAACTGATTGGTTGAAACAAAAGGACAAGGCAGATTGTACAGTAGGATTATGGGCAACTATACGTTCAGACACTGCTGTATTTTGTAAAGTATGTAATTGCATAGTACAAGTGAAAAAATGTTTCTAAGCACTTTCTGATCATGGAGATACTGCCAAGCACAGACAAAAATTTACCTGTGCTTATGGTCCAAGACATTGGTTGTACCAGGTGATAGTTTCCCAGGCCCATCGAAAAATGATGAAATTCCAAGTAATACTGACAGTGTGACTGGAGAATGATCAGCAACTGTGAGTTTGCATAATCCAAGAGATGCTGCATACCATGCAGAACTTGTATGGGCCATTAAAATAACATGTAGTAATTTCTCATTTGCTGCTTCTAATAATATGGTTCCAACACTATAAGCAATGCTTCCAAAAAGTAAACTTTTTGAAGGAATATCAATGAGTGAGAAGAAATTGCACTATTTAATAACTGAAGCATTGGTTCCCTATTTCCAAGAAAAAAAAAATGCTAGAAGAAGCCCACTTTTCATTCTTTACAATTAGTTATGATGAAAACAGCAATGTGGAAAGTACTGTACAAAAAAAAAGTTGTCTGCAGACACCTAAATACACGTTTTCTTGGGTGAGCAGATGCAGAAACATTGATAGCTTTGATAATGTGTGTATGCAATGATGCTAACCTGTTACTGCACAAACTTTTGATGATAAAATCAGATGGTCCTAATGTTAACTAAAAAGTGTTATGTCTTTTTAAGGAAGATGTACTGGGAATTTGCAAGAAAAGCCTTGTTGACATTGGAACATGTATGAATCATATTATTCATAACACATATCTGAAAGCGTTAAGTGACTGGGTGAAGATGCATTAGAACTTATTGTGGCAGTTTAAAGATTTTTTGATGGATGTCTGGCTCAGTGGGAAGTTATGAAGTTGTGCAAGAAAAACTCAAGTTGCCCTGTAAAGTACTCCATTAATAAAAACGTTTACCTCAGTCAACTTGGAGCTTCACTAACTATTAGTCTTACGGTGGAGGCATTTGGATCCATACTAGAGACAGGATCATCCTCTCGCTGTCTCCCGTCTAGTTTAACGGTTTTCTTTTTCTGTTACCCTTCTTTTGCCAGGTTACTTTTCGTTCGGGACTCTTGACACTCGTCTGATCAGGTTGTTTTTTCCCTTTTGGACAAGCCCTCGAAAAATGCCCCACCACACCACATGAATAACATGTCATGGGTGACTTTGCTGGTGCAAAACTTTTCGGCTCCATCTGTTTATTTATTTTTTGACAGTCCTTAATCGGATTTGCACTGTCAGAAGAACTTTGTTGATTTCTTCTGAATTCATACTCTTTTGCAGTGCATACTAGCTCGTTTAATGAGTAAGAACGGTGATTTTCCAGATACTCACATAACGGTACAGGCATCTGGGCAACTATACATTGAATTATTTCTTCGTCACGAGCTAAAGGTCTCCACGTGCGGTATAGTTGAACTGTGGTCCATATAAACTGCCCGACACCATTGGTTCTGGTGTACTGGCAACTAAACAGTTCTTTAGCGACAGCTACTTCGTCGGCTAAAGGAGCGTACAGAGTAAAAAAAAAATCGTTTAAATAACGGCCAACTGTTGCCGATTCGGTGGC